CATGCACTAACCTTGGCTTTTGTCATAGCCTGTGAGCCAAGGTCCCCTCTGTGACACAAGCCACACCCATCCTCATTTGAGGTAGTGTCATTGTCACAAAAAGGAACTTTGGCACAGAAAACAAGCCAGATAAGCACAGTGCTTCCTTGGCTGAGCGTCCAAGGAACCCACACCTGGCCTGCCTGGAGAGGAATAGGCGATGATCTCGAGAGGTCTCATGTGTATGGTGGGAGAAGGCTGCTCAGAGGGTAAAAAATGACTAACTCGTGCCGGGACAGAGATTTTCATGGATACTCCCCAAATACAAAGGTTAAACTACTCTGAACTTTCTTATAGATCTCAGGTCAATTTTTTTGGCTGAATAATAGTAGCTGATATGGTTTGGCTGTGTCCCCACCCAAATCTCAACTTGAATTGTAGCTTCCAACATCCCCACATGTTGTGGAAGGGACCCGGTGGGAGAAAATTGAGTCATGGGGGTGGTTTCCCCCATGTGGCTCTCATGGGAGTGAATAAGTCTCATGACAGTTAACAGTTTCATAAGGGGAAACCCCTTTCACTTGGTTCTTATTTTTCTCTCTTGGCTGCTGCCATGTAAGATGTGCTTTTCACCTTCTGCCATGATTGTGAGGCTTCCCCAGCCACGTGGAACCATGAGTCCATTAAACCTCTTTTTCTTTATAAATTACCCAGGCTCAGGTATGTCTTTATCAGCAGTATGAAAACAGGCTAATAGAGTAGCTAATATCTATTGAGCATGTTCTCTGTGCTGGGGGCTTGCCGGGGTTTCAGGAGGTACTCACGATGCCAGAGCGACCACTTTCCCAATCCCAGCACTGCAGTAAAGATGGCATAAGCTGCTCAGTGCAAGTATGAGCACATTTTACCTTCTTAATTTGAGAAAAGATTTTGAAGTGGTGAAATTTGTAAAGTGACCAGCATGAAAATGCTCAAGGTGAAATGGCCAAGGACGTCGTGTGAGTCTAATTCTGTCCACACATGAAAGGAGCACGAAAGCATAAACTGTATTTATCTCTGGGTAGTAGAAGCCAAGTAACGTGTATTTCCTTCTTCGGATCTTTCTTCTAGAATAAACACAAACTATTTTTATAAGAAAATATTTTTATATATAAAAGTATGACTTTATCTGGCTGAATTGAAGCCTAGAAGTTGTGAAGAAAAATAATCCCCACGTTTCTCTAACATGCCCCCAAGCCATTGAACCCCGAGTGTGTGTTTGCATCTGCTGCTATGCATACAAGTTTTGTTTTGTTTTGTTCTGTTTTTTGAGATGGAGTTTCGCTCTTGTTACCCAGGCTGGAGTGCAATGGCGCGATCTCGGCTCACTGCAACCTCCGTCTCCTGGGTTCAAGCAATTCTCCTGCCTCAGCCTCCCCAGTAGCTGGGACTACAGGCGTGCGCCACCATGCCTAGCTAATTTTTGTATTTTTAGTAGAGACGGGGTTTCACCATGTTGACCAGGATGGTCTCAATCTCTTGACCTTGTGATCTACCCGTCTCGGCCTCCCAAAGTGCTGGGATTACAGGCGTGAGCCACCGTGCCCGGCCTGCATACAAGTTTTTATTCTGTCATGAGGGGACAGTTCTTGTCGAGTCAAGGGGGAAGAGGCCGGATTTGAGTTCCCTCAGTTAGAAGGAGGTGGAAAATGGACAGAGCTACTTTTTATCGAAGGCTTGGTAGAGAAGAGAGGTCAGAAGGTGACAGAACTATCAAAGAAAGACTAGATGACTCTATCATGTGCAGAATTGTTTGGGGGCCATGAGACTGAAGGTGGCATTGAGCAGGAGCAGCCCACTGTCCTCACCTCTGACAGCACCAAGCACCCAGGAGGATGCTGAGACTGCAGGCTGGGCAAGGTTGTCACAGGGGTGCAGTGAGAGGAGAACAGCTACTTTTGGGCAGGTAGGTGTGTGATCGCTTTGTCTGGATGGTGGAGGCTGAAGCTGAAGACCCGGGTAAGGGATGGCTTGATTTCACACCAAGAATGGTGGCCTCATTTTGTGATCACAGGCTGATGGAGGCTCAGTGTGAGGTTATGTTGCTAGGAAACAGAAAGAAGATGCATCTATAAGCAAGTAAGAACTTCTGCAACCATTGGAATGCAGCCCGGAGCTTAGCATAGTTTTTGGTTGGTTTTATGGTTCTGATAAGCACCAGAGTATGCAAAGCAGCTGGAGACTGTTGGGGTTCCTGTGGAGGAAGGTGGCAGGTGTGTTGACTGACGTGCACCTGCCGGCCCCATGGGACTTATGGCCATGAGCGCTAAAGAGCCACACCTCCCTATGAAAGACATGACTACAGTCATCTGCTGCAGCTCATGCAAAAGTGAAATGAAAACTGATTGACTTAAACATTGGATCTACGAATAAAAACTTTCCAGTGTGACTGGTGAAACACAACTTGAATGCGGACCCGGCCAAAAGTTAATGTGATACCCACGGATTTGATGAGCCTGTGGGGTCCTGTGTCCTCCTCACACTAACACAGACTTATGAGGCTTCTCTTCCCCTTCCTTCAGGACACATGCTAATGTCAATGTCAAAATCAGCACAAGGACCTCCTGCAAAGATCATATTTACTGAGAGAGCACTATCTTCAGACTCGTCTGAAATTTAATAAAATGAATTTAATAAAACAAATTTCAGACAAATTTGAATAGTGTAAATTTGCCATTACCCTATTTCTGGACCGAGGAGAGGAATAAAGGGAGTACAGTTAAACAATTCCATGTAGCCCGTTTCAGTGTTTATTGTTATGTACGTAGATGAAACACAGCTGCTGTTAAGCAAAAGGGATTTACTATTCAATCAATGAAAGTAGATTTCTTATGGACCTGACACCACCCTGTCGCTCCCTCAGAGGCTGTTGCCCCCATACTGAGGTATGAGGACAGCCTTGGTGCTGTAAGAGGCCTTTCGTGGAGCCTCTGGAAGAACATGTAGTGTTCACCCGGGTGTTCTCTTGGATTGCTCCAGGGATAAAGAATGCTGTTGATGGAGGACCGTGTGAGCAGTAGCACCCGGTGCCCCCTTAAACTGTTACAACACAGAGCCGGCCACTTAAGGGCCCTGAGAAGCCCTTGGATCAAGCAGTGTTTGTAAGTCTAATGGGAGGCACTTGGTGAACGTTTCATAGGTGTGCTTGGAAAGAAAAAGAATAGTCTGTCATTATTGCTTGGAATGTTCTTAGCTATTAGGTTCCAGTAGGTCCTGTGTTGTTTGGTTCTTGTATGTGTTTGATGATTTTCTGTCTAGTAGTTTTATTCTCAATTTTGGTATAACGTTTTGGTGATCTTTCCTCCTTACAGCTGCTCTGAATATTCCACTTAACTTGACTGCACTATACACAAATTTTGCGTGAAGTCTAGAGCAGCATATCGGAATCATCTGTGAGCTTGCAGAGATGTGTGTGCCTGAACCACATTCCAGACCAATCTCAGCCAGAATCCCTAGGGGTGGGTCCTGAAAATCTGCCCTTTAAAATCTCCCTAGGTGGCTCTATTGTGCATGCAGGATTGAGGACCACTGGACAGAGGCTGTGCAACACGATCCAATTCAAGTGTCGCAGGTAACAGACCTGGGTGAAGCCCTGAGGTCACTTCCACTGCACCGAGAGCAGCACTGTCCAGTAGAGCCACCCGAGAGGGTGGAAACGTTCTGTGTCTGTGTTGTCTAATGTGGCCGTGCTCGCCACACTCGCTACACACTGGGGAGCGAGACCGAGGAACTGCATTGTGAATTTTTTCTTTAAGTAATTTAAATTTAAATAGCTGCATGTAGCTAGTGACTACCATAGGCAGCCTGAGATCCGTGTAATTTTTCTGTCTTATTTTACCAAGAAAAGAAATACATTTTCACCCGAACTTCCAATGATAGATGATTCTAAGTGGAAGTACTCTCAGTTAAAAAATGTGTTCTTTTGATAGCAAATAGTACATGTATCAGCAAAAGACATGAATTCATATTGTTTCTTCTCTGTGGAAAAGTGAGACTTCAGAAAACAATTCAGTGTGCCTCTTTGATGACAAAATTGCACCTTGGAAAATATTTGTAAATGATTATGCTAAGGAATAACATCTGTACTGAGAAATGCACTAATATTTCTTTCAAATACATGTCTGTTATCTGTGACTTTTAAAACTTACACAGGGCCGGGTGCAGTGGCTCAAGCCTGTAATCTCAGCACTTTGGGAGGCCAAGGCAGGTGGATCACCCAAGTTCAGGAGTTCAAGACCAGCCTGGACAACATGGTGAAAGCCTGTCTCTACAAAAAATACAAAAATTAGCCAGGCATGGTGGCACATGCCTATAATCCCAGCTACTCAGGAGGCTGAGGCAGGAGAATCGCTTGAACCCAGGAGGCAGACATTGTGGTGAGCTGAGATTGCGCCACTGCGTTCCAGCCTGGGCAACCAGAGCAAGACTCCATCTCAAAAAAAGGAAGGAAGGGAGGGAGGGAGGGAGGGAAAGAAGGAAGGAAGAAAAAAGAAAATTTACTCGGAATATCCTAATCACATTGTTCATCTCCCCATTTCATAAGGCTTGTAGTTTCCAGGAGCACAATTGTAACAGTAAAAAAAGTGTTCAAACCCAACTGTGCGGGACTCAGAGAAGCTTGCAGTCACACTGTCACCTATAATCAAGGTGCTGTGATAAAATGCATTTGTAGTGGCTGTTCATGTTTCCCACATGACTGACATATGTTTGTATGGTGTGCCAGCCCATGAACTTTTCACTGTGGAGTAATTCCTTAGACACTGGCAAAACTCGTTGCAAGATAAATCTTAAGTGGACATATTTGACACCATAAAAACTTTGAGGTAGCATGAAAACAAGCTACTCTTCATTTTGAAGTATTTATTCATTCTCTGATTCTTTTGAGATGGAATTTCGCTCTCATCCCCAGGCTGGAGTGCAATGGCGCGATCTCGGCTCGTTGCAACCTCCGCCTCCTGGGTTCAAGCGATTCTCCTGCCTCAGCCTCCTGACTAGCTGGGATTACAGGCGCCTGCCACTATTCCCAATGAATTTTTGCATTTTTAGTAGAAACAGGGTTTCTATATGTTGGCCAGGTTAGTCTTGAACTCTTGATCTTAGGAGATCCACCCACCTTGACCTCCCCAAGTGCTGGGATTACAGGAATGAGCCCTGCGCCCGGCCTTCTCTGATTATTTTTAAATGCTAATTTTTAGTACTGGGAAGAAAAACTAGGAAAAGGAGTGCTTTATCATAAGCTCATCAAGAAAAAGGGCTATAATAAAATTATTTTGGTTTTGGTTCTTTATAAAATATTTCTGAAAAATCGAAATAATAAATACAGTGCTATCATGACAGCATGGAAATCAGATGTAATTTTTCCATATTTTCTTATTCAACGGAAAATCATTAATGATACACAAAAACTAGGAGAAAATGTTTAAAAAAGTAATGGAAAAGCATTAATTCTTACTTTCCATAGGTCCTTTCAGCTTCTGAAATTAAGAGCATTAATTTTCACTCAAGCCTGTCCAAGACCTAAGAAAATCCTAACCAATCCTAACCCTCTATCAATAGGCTCTTCGCCAGTTGGTTATATCTGAAATCAGTCTGGGACCAAGAGTCTGTTGTGTGTATCCCCAGCAGGGCCCAGACAGGGGAAGAGAGAAACCCTGAGCTCATGCACCTCCAGCCTTCAGTTTTCTTCTGTTCCAGTGTTTCTGGCATCCATTTCAGATGCTGCTGACCTAGGGGGAAGGGCTGCTACAGCCCACTTGAGAGGGCGGGCAGCCATCAATCAAATTAACACACTGAGAAGGGCCAGCGGAATCAGGCTTGTCTGGCGTTCTGCGTAACTGTCCGAGGTGCTAAGACGCCGAGGGGTGTTTGTGCTGTTCCTCCAGGCCCGGGAGAGTGGGCTCTTTGCCCTCCGGGGTGAGCTTTTCTCTGCTCCCACCCGCGATGACAGATTAGCCATTCTAGCACTTCTGCCCGCACTGTCCTCCAGCCTCACAGGAACGAGTGCCCTTCCCCTGTTGGAAGCTGGCCTACTCTGACAACCCCTGTGGCGCCCAGCTTCCACACTAAGGACTCTGAGAAATGAGAATTTCTGGGCCTGCCCCACTGCCTGTTCTGATGCTGGCTGTTGCCCACGGATTTTTGTCGTTAGTCCCCGGAGGACGTCCCCCAGGATCTGGTGGGCCTTCTTTGAGAAATACTCCCTGCTCCGTGGAGAGTAACCACCCTCCCATATTCCTTTTATTTTTACGGACTCACTCCCTACTCTGTAAGTCTGCTCGTTTCCCCACTGAAAACAGAACCCTCTCTCAACACCTCTTCTCTGTACTCCTTTATAGTTGATTTCTCCCGAACAAACAAATCCATGCTGGTTGCCTCATTTCCCCCCTTACCCCTCACTTCTCTGCAGTCCAGTGTTTGACCCCTCTACGCCACATGTGCTCTTACTATCCTCCAAGCAAACAAAACTCAGCTCCGACCCAGACCCTCCACAAAGCCTGCGGGGCCCTGCTCCTGCCCCGCCCTGTCCTGTGCAGCCCTGCCCCACTCCTTGCTGGCCGCTACCTTAGAGCCCCGGCTTCCTTCTAGCTTCCTGATGTGCAGCGCTCCTTCCTGCCCCAGGCCTTTGCACTGCAGCTGCCCTCCCCGGCTTCCTCCTCACAAGGGGCTGTCACAGCATCCATATCACAAAGAGGCCTTGCCTGCTCACGTGATTTAAAGAGCTATCCTTCTCTCTCTTACAGCTCCACTTATTTTCCTTGAGTGCATTTCCTAATTTACATATGTTTATTAATTCTTCCCCTCAATAGATTCAGAGTTTTGAAAGGCTGGTGGCCTTATTCGTGTAGCTTATCACTGCACCAAGCCACGTTCCTGAGACACGGTAGATGCTTTACCTGGAGAAAAAGTGAACCAATGATGCTGTTTTGGCAGAAGCCAACTAGCGCCTCCCTAACTCCCGGCTTCTGCACCTGAATGCATAGCGGCCTGAGTGAGAGACCGTGGCAAATAATGACTCCGCAGACGATCTGTGACTCAATATGTGCCCTGAGTGTCCTCAGTTCTCTGACGAGCAAAGCCAGACACCCGGCTCTTCTCATCACTGTGTCTGATCCCATTGCTAGAAAGGCCTTGGGGAATTTTGTGTTTTAGCGATTTCACTGAGAATAAAACCAAAAGCCTAGTTTCATCGTTTGTACAGAAAAATGGTACTGCTGACGTTAACCTTGTGATTACAGGATAATTTCAAAAATGGCTGTGGACCTTTTGTTTTTTGTCTTTGCAGAGTAAATGAAATAGAGAGAGAACTAAATCCCCCACTTCCTGTGCAGCAGTGCAGTATTCAGGGACCCCCCAGGAAAGAAGGTTTCAGGAGCTTGGCCTCTCAGCATCCCTGCGCACACGGCCTGGCCCCTGAGCACAGCGCCTGCCATGTCCTCATCTAAGCTGCATTCCCTTTCCTTCTTTGGGGACATAAATCTGCTAGCAATAAAAATATCGTACTGGGTAATAATGTATGCAGGGTACACTGTTGGTGTTCCTAATGGCTGTTCAACGGTGATACAAGTTAACTGGAATTTTGAATGGAGCCCTTTCAAAGCCGTTTTCCCCCCTAAAGCTGGTGCCTGCCCAGATACCTAAAAAACATGCACACCCCCACAAGGGAACCTTCAACAAGTTCTTAGTCCCTTCAAGATGCTTTCTCAGCAGATGACACACTAGAGTGACAGTCTGGACATTCTGTTGTTTCTTTTCTTATTTAAGGATGTCTTCGAATGTAACAGAAATGAAATAGAAATAAGAAATTTAATTATGCCAAAGAAAGTAAATGACCACTATTGCTAAATGGCAAGGCTAGAAAACCCATGAGAGTCACTTGTCCAGAATTACTTTAGTAGAGATGGATACAAAATAAAGAAGAAAAATCACTATAATACTGCTTCCTGTGCACTTCCTGGAATGCGCTTTACACATCATTCTGTGATGCTGAGCAGATAGAGGGGCTCCAGGTTCACACAGGCCAGTGTTTGAGTACGTCTTTGCTACTCTTGCAATTTCCAGTATCACTGCCAACCTATCTGGGTCCTTCATACAGTTCACGTGAATTATTGCTGGTGGATAATTCTCAGTGCTAGGACTTAGTAGCCGATCAAACGAGGAGGGGAGGGCAAAGAGGGCATTCATAAATGTACTGAGTATCTGCTAATCTGTATCAGGACTTGTCCTGGGTGCCGGGGTGGGACCAAAGAAACCCAGGGCTCCCTCTGAGGACTCGCAGGGAAGGTGGTGCTGAAGCTCCCAGGTTGGGTAATGGGAAACAGGATTCACAGAGAGCAGCAGGTTGGGTGAGAGATGGTGAGTTCAGACATGGGCACTAAGGACTTTCATTTCCATGTGATGATGTCCGGCAAACCTCCCAAATCGAAGACCAGAGCAGAAGCAGGGGTCAGAGTCTGAGATGGGGACCCAGGAGCCAGGCCCAAAGCGGTCCCTGAAGTCCTACGAGGGGATGAGTTTGCTAAGAACATTCAAACAGAAAAGGAGACATTAGTGAGATTATAAGCTTCCAGAGAGCTCATGAATTAGAGTCTGCAGGAAGAAATAAGATAATAGAGGAGGTGGAGCCAAAATCATCAGAAAACTCTGTGAGCTAGGCAAGTGCCCAAGAAACAAGGCCAGAGAGAGTGCCCCGAAGCGGACAGGCACAGTGACTACTGCGGTAGAAGGTAAGGCAGCCAAGCCAGAGAATGGCTTTGACCTGATGCTCAGAGAGGCTGGAGTGTGCTGCTCAGTAGAGCAATGGAGGTGGAAACTCCGCCAAGGGTGAAGCAGGGGTGGGAGGGGCAGAGGCCGCACAGGAGCCCGGGGAGGGGCATGGGTGGTAAATGGAACAGGAAATGTGTGAGAATGGGAGAGGCTGATAATGCTGTGGCTCAGCGGACGACCTGCCAAGTGCAGGGTGGATTGCAAAGGACAGTGCCAGGGAGGAGAAACAGAAAGATAAGAAGGTGTGAGGTAAGACGGAGAGAAGAGGAAGTGCAGAAAGCTTTTCTTGGTTGTCCTTAACTATTTTACAAAACTGAGAGGATGGTAATTTGGTAACAATGGAGGGGCAGAAGTGTCCCTGTGGGCTTGAACCATCCTATGGGCTTAACCATCCTGTCCCTGTGGGCTGAACCATCCTGTTAGACAGTGCACAGGAAAGTCAAGAAAAGATGAACAAAGTTGAGCACGGCAAATCATAGTTAGCACGAATTTTGGGAATCCAAATGACACAGCTTTGTGACTTTCTTCAGAAATTGTTGGGCAAGAAAATGCAGAAAAGAATCGGGTTGGAAAGCAGCAATTCCAAGGCCCTCAGAGAGTCTCGTGGCTTACAGTGATGACCATGGGGTCCAGCCTGGGCAGAGGGGAAACTGATGGCAGAAACAGAGGAAAAGCCAGGAGATCAGGGAAGATTTTAGGAGCAGCAGACTCTGAACTGAGGCGAATACCTCCCTTCCCTTGGAGGGAGATGCACCACTTCAAGGGTCGGTGAAGCTCCCCTCCCCATATCTGCTTGCTGTTGGGTGAGCAGGAGCGATGCCCCAAGTCATCCCAGAGAAGCTGTATTCCTGGCACCGGTGTCCCTTAGATGCCCAGGTCTTCCTTGTCTTCTACCAATGTCTACGCCACAGAAGAGGGTCCTGACGTAATTATAGAGAACAGATTGACTAAACCATACCCTTAAAGTCCATCAATGCTGGTAAACTACCAAATGTATACAGGTGATTAATGATAGTACTCCCCTAATGGTGATACAATCTTGCACCCATGTTATATACATACACATATATATATATGTATACACAGCAAGTCACTGGTCTAACCTATTTAGTCTCCTGGAGAATTTAAGTGACAGCAGGGGAAGGCTCTGCCTTTTGTGTGTCCTGAAAGGCACATACGCCCCTGCAGCCTGTGGGTGAAGATGGAAGATTATAATTAATCACAAAGATGTGGCTGAACATGCAGTGTTCTTCCTTCTGCTGCTTCCTGCTGCCAGGGAAAAAGCCAGTGGCCTCTAATCGACCCGCGAGAGCGGCTCCGTTGCTGTGTGCAGCACTGGCTTCAGATCCTTCTTCCTCAATCCTGCCTCCCTGCAGTTTTGGCTTTCCTTTTTCTGTTCTTTCTTTTTTTCCTGGCTTGCCAAATTTGGGCTTAGTCAGGGCTGTGGTGTTAATGCTCCTAATGAGCTAGCTCAGCCGACTCAGAGCCACAACCTGAGCAGCACTGATGAGAGCTGAAGACAGAAGCGGGACGGAGGCATGCGTCCAGGTGCACTTTCTGCAGTGCCTCTGTTTGTCCAGACATTTCACAGATGCCAGAGGGAGAGGGCAGGGACAACGTGACAGGCAACGAACTCCCCAAGGAAAATACTGTTTCAATAAAGAGGGAAGATTGCAAGCTGCACTGTGTATGAGTAGATGAGCGTGTGCTCATGTCTTAAAACTCTGAACGTGCAAATTATTATTTTTTTTATTATACTCTAAGTTCTAGGATACATGTGCAGAACGTGCAGGTTTTTTACACAGGTACACACGTGCCATGGTAGTTTGCTGCACCCATCAACCTGTCATCTACATTAGGTATTTCTCCTAATGCTATCCCTCCCCTAGTCCCTGACCACCTGACAGGCCCTGAAGTGTGCTGTTCCCCTCCCTGTGTCCATGTGTTCTCATTGCTCAACTCCCACTTATGAGTGAGACCATGCAGTGTTTCGTTTTCTGTTCCTGTGTTAGTTTGCTGAGAATGATGGTTTCCAGCTTCATCCTTCCTTACACCTTATACAAAAATGAACTCAAGATGGATTAAAGATTTAAACGTAAGACCTAAAACCATAAAAACCCTAGAAGAAAACCTACACAATACTGTTCAGGACACAGGCACGGGCAAAGATTATGATTAACACACCAAAGCAATAGCAACAAAGGCCAAAATCGACAAATGGGATCTAATTAAACCAAAGAGCTTCTGCACGGCAAAAGAAACTATCATCAGAGAGAACAGGTAACCTACAGAATGGGAGAAAATGTTTGCAATCTAACATCTGACAAAGGGCTAATATCCAGAATCTACAAGGAATGTGAACAAGTTTACAAGAAAAAAACAAACAACCCCATCAAAAAGTGGGCAAGGGTATGAACAGACACTTCTCGAAAGAAGACATTCATGTGGCCAACAAACATGACAAAAAGCTCATCATCACTGGTCAATAGAGAAATGTAAATCAAAACCACAATGATACCATCTCATGCCAGTTAGAATGGTGATCATTAAAAAGTCAGGAAGCAAATTATTTTTAATTGAAATTTGTATTAATCCAATTCCAGATTCATATACAATTATAAGAAGTAATACAGTAGGGCACAATAGCTCATGCCTGTATTCCCAGCATTTTGGGAAGCCAAGGCAGGAGGATCACTTGAGCCGAGGAGACTGAGGCTGCAGTGAACTGTGATCCTGCCACTGCACTCCATCCTGGGTAAGAGTGAGACCCTGTCTCAAAACAAAATAAAATAAAGAAGAAATAACAGAGAGAGACCCCACATCCACTTTCCCAGTTTTCTGTAATGGTAATATTTTGCAAATTTATAATATAATACCACAACTAAGATATTGACATTGATACAACCCCCCATCGATTTCAGATTTCCCCAGTTTTGTTTACACTTATTTGTTCATGTGTGTGAGTGCATACGGTGTTTAGTTCTACACAATTTTATCACGTGTAGGGTTGTGTTTCCACCACTACAATCAAAATACTGAAAGTTTCATCACCACTAGAATTGCTTGTGTTGCCCTGTTATACCCACATCCACCTCCCACATGCCATTCCCCATTCCCACCCCAGCTGCCAACCTCTGGCCACCACTGTTCTTCATTTCTAAAGTTTTATTTCAAAAATGATATGGAAAATGACACATACAGTATGAAATAGTTGGGAGGTTTTTTTTCCACCTAGGCTAATTGTCCTGGGATCCATTTATTCCTTTTCATTCCTGAGTAGTATTTCATGGCATGGATGAACCAGTTTGTTTAATCATTCACCCTTTCAGCCTATCTATATTTGCCAATCTCTGTCTTTTTATTACTGTGTTTAAATTATTGATATTGATAAGTATTTATGTGTTGATGCTTAAGTCTATCTTTTTAATTATTTTTTGTTTGATTTCTCTGGTTCTTGTTCCTCTGTTTCTTACCTTCCTTAGGCTATTTGAATAATAGTTT